CGTAGGTATACATCTAACAGCTGCACTAAGTCTTGCCACTTAACATTTAATAATAGCAATTTTTAAAAACTGTCAAAAGAGTATGATAATCAGTAAGTTGTATTAAATAAGAATTAAAGCTGCTGAAAATCTGAGGGAAGAAAAAGAACATTTAAAGATAAGCAGTGCACTTGTGATTATTGCTCCTTGTTTGGGTGTTGTAATTGCTTGGTCCTGGGCTGGTAGTGTTGTCTTGCTGCAAACATCTCTTTCATGGTCAGTTATGTAGTGATTATCTGGGACTTTGTTTTGTTTCATCTCTTGACCAGTAATTGTTTGATATGGGTGTGATTTTAAATATAAGTTTGAGATGACTGATCTGAGAGTCCCTTCTGGGAACCTCCATCTCAAAAGAATAGAAATAAGATTTTCTGAGGGCAAACTGCTAAGATTTTTATAACAAGACTCAGTCTTTGATAGTTCTGCTTAAATCAGAGGTAGTTCTTTGCAGCAGCCTTGTATGTAAGCACCAAGCCACGTTAAAACACATGATAGTTTTTCTGTTTGCTAGATTTTTGCTTCTTAAGTCCTCTCCTGTATATTGTGTTTTCTGGATTGCTGTACAGGGCTTGATGTCAGCTTTTGGTTTTTCATTGTTTCCTTTTTCAAGGGGGTTAATCTTTTTTAGTGTGGTATTTTTTTATTTTGTTTGCATTTTTTTTGTAAATCACAATTACAGACTCACGTTAGGTCTGTGATATGCTGCCATTCCTAAAGTTTCTGTCAGAGCTATCATCCTGCCTTGTAGCTCAGCAGTCAATTAGTCCTTTTCACATACAATATTTTGAACTAGTGCATTGCATTGCAAACTTCAATATTGTGACATGATATCAATGCATGTCCAGTTTTTGGAATTCTAACCATATATGCCAGAGCATTTGGGACTGTATCTGTGGGTTAAGTGAAATCTGTGTACAGTCAACAGGCACTGATGGAAATGTGAAAGAAGGCCATGCCAGATACAGGCCCTGTAGGTTTCCCCCTGATGGCAGTGCCCAGCCTGGCAGGGCATCACCCAGCGTTCCACTCACTGTACACAGGATGGGCTTTGCACAATGTGCCCATGAGCCAACGTGGGGCACAATCTCAGCAGTCTTTCTAAACCAAGGTCTTGTTACCTCCAATACCAGTGCTAGAGATCAGGGAAGCCAGGCTCAGAACACGAAATCCTGCCTTCTCACTCATTCTGTCCTGGAAATAGATGTGCCAAAATCAAGCTGTCACCCTTGTGCATTGCTGTCAGTAGCTGGGCTGCTTTCATTGCAGGGTGGTACTTAGGCTGTGCTGGGCCATCACGCCTGCTTTCGTTGCTCTTGTTTAATCCAGGTTTGCTTTCGTAACCAGTAATCCCAGTCCCTTTCCAGAACGACTTGCTGTGCACAGTGTAGTTAGAGAAGTGAGGCTAAAAACTAACACTGATGGTAAAATGAATGCATTAATTTATGTGGCTGTACTTAATATTCAGCAGCTGAATAGGTATAAATTTTTTATTTTTAGATGATTTGCAGTCATAATATAACTGAAACCTGAGTACTGTTTTATAAACTTGGCATCCAGTCAGCTCCTACTGCTTTGTTGCTATGGACATGTTGTTCTGTAGCAGACACACTAATATTTTGTGCTGTGATTGAGACCTGAAAAACATGCACTGTTTGCATATATTTAAATAACTGCGATTAATAATTTCCCTTAGAATTGGAAGACACACGAGTGGGGAAATGCTCACTGCTAAGCCACGCAGGCACTGCCCTGACTCAGGGTTTCGCTGCACAGCTGTGATTTAACTGCAACCTTCTGCCTTTTTTCAAAAGGGCATTTCCATAGGGGACGTCCCAGTAATTGCAGTGTCAGTGCTCCATCATCTCTCCCTTGCCTCTTAACATCACTGCTGCTGGGTGGGCTCTGCCTCCCGGAGAAAGATCGGCTCATGCTGTGCTATGGGAGCAAAAGTTTTATAAGGGCAGCAGAGGTCTTTCTGCAAACAATATCTGGTAAAGAGGGATTTGATATTTGTTTTAGCTAGAGGAAAAGAGGCCTTGTGAAGGGCCGTATTTGCTAAAATACTGCACCCTTGCTCAGGAGCAGATGGCTGCTTTCTAAGAGAAAACCTCATCAGGTCACTGTGCAATTTTCATTTGGTGATGTTTTTGTAATGCAATGCTATCTATTTATTGTGTAATCTGGTAGGCTAATACTGAACACATTTCCAACTTCTCTGCATTATCTACTTGGAGAGTAGATTTTCATATATTCCATTAATAATGGTTTGTAATGTGAAATCCACCTATTTAAGATACTACAGAGTTCATTTTTGGTATTTTCATAAATGATCCAATTTTCAGAGCAAGAAAAATTTAACTGGAAATATATTGTCTTAAATACCTTAACAGCAGCACTTCAGAAAATGATCATTATTTCTAAAGGCTCAGTCTGATGTTCACATAATTTCCAAAAGCTTTCCATCAAAGTTGAGAGATATTTGCACCACAATTTTTTCAAGTACTGGGCAATCCAGAAGTCTGCAATTAAAAAAAAAAAAAACGGAGCATTTCTAAGTGCTTAATTCTGGCTGCAGCAAACAGAAGTCTTGAAAAACTCCGGAGGTTTCTATTTACATCTTCAGATCCTTAGAAGAACTGGATGGATAACATTACTGATCTCCATCATTCCTACACTTTCCCACCTATGGTGTCAGGATATCTGGGCAAGCAGTCCATCACGGGCAGGGTTTGAAGCCTTCACTTTGAGATCCATCTATTGTAGTCTGTGGGTGCTGTTGTGACATACTGGCATGGAAATACTGGCATGGTACTCCCATAGCTGCTCAACACACTGCACATCACTGTGTATGTATTGGCTCCTGTTCCCCACAGGCTTCCACTGAGCTCTGAAGGCTGTTAAAGTATCTTCTATCAAAACATATGATTTAAAACGCTTCCTTCCTTATGTGTAAGGAACCCCAAGGGATCAGTCTGCTTCATTTACTTGCTAGTAGTTCTGTCTTGAAAACATTAGATTAAGTTTGGTATCATTAAAAAAAAAACAAAACAACAACAAAAAAACCAACGAACAATATTTCTGTATTTCATCAAATCTGTACTGGGTATGAATTTCTGAGAGGTCCACTCCATCTGCTGCTGTTGTCTTCCTCAAACGTGCCAGTGAGCTGAGCAGCCGGGATGTGATTTCCCTTCGAACATCAGTGCAGTGCTGTCATAACGTAGAAGTTATAACAGACAATGAAAACAAACAGTGAACCCAGGGGAATGCGTGAAGCCACTTTTAGGGCGCTCTGTGCAGCTGTTGTGCAAAATATGGTTGCAACCCTGATAAGGGCTGTGACATGAATCTTCAGATGGTTTGGAAACATTGGCATTAATGAGTCCTTAAAACGTGACTAATTGATTTTCCTGATGAGCACAGCTCTCAATCTAAATAGAACTCCAAGTCTTTGGCCTCTGCACAGCTGTGCCTTACCCATGCATGTTGTTAGGGGTTGAAACCAAAACCTTTGACTTTTCTCAGAATTTTTAATTATTGACAACTTATGTTGGGGTTTTGAATCTAACATGGATCTTTCTTTGAAATCCGATGACCCCAAAGAACTGCCTTCTACTATTATTTTATCTCTAATTATTTCTCTCTATGCAAATGAATAGAGAAGTTATGCTCAGTCCTTCTGCATGGATGTTTTTCATTTCAAATCTACTTAGGCTCACAGAAACTTTGAAATGTGTATGCATTTCACCCACAAATGTTATTTTGCCACAGACAGAGGTGGTGTCAGTGTGCTTCTCACCTGCACTTGGAGATCAGCTTTAAAACATTCAGCTTCAGCTGCACCTTCTCCCAAAGCAGTCTGAAATGCGTTTCAGTATTTTCAAAGAACTCTTCTAGCGCTGCATCCTTTAGAATTAATGTAATTGCATTGTCTTTTAATATTCAATTATTAGCACTTCATTGGATTTTTATCTTTATTTGCTTTATCAAATGTCATATTAATTGCATTTTATATCCCCACTCTGTAAATCTATCACACTGCCTTTGATTTTCTAAGTCAATTAAGCAATTACAGGTTCATTGAATAAAGAAAAGAAATTGTACTGAGATATTTCTTACAGTTTAGTATAATAAAAATCATCATCAGTAAAGATACTGCAAACAAGATCTTCAGCTGGTGTGCAGTGACTGACTTCAGTACCACCACCAGAGCTGAAAACACAGCCTCACATCTTTTTCAGATCTTTTTCAATTGGTATCTACCAATAGCCTTATAGCAGTTCACTGTTCTTTGTATCCACATTAGGAAATTGAAGTGATAGGAATAACAAACACAGCGTATGGACACTCTTCTCACTGTTATATCCTATGCCAGCTCCTGTATATGAAAATCAGTATACTATACTGGGAATCTGATTCCCCCATTGCCTTAAAACACTTTTTCAAAGCCAAATAATTGGCTTATTAATGCTAAAAATACCTTGCTGAAACAGAAAGAAGACAAGCAGGGAAGCTCACTATTGGCTGACCACCTCGTTCCTGAGTGTCAACCTTTAAATAGCTTCACCTGTTGAGGAGGTTCCCAATAGCACCAGCTTTACAGCATGCTGGTGTGTGCTGGGACCGTCAGCCCACATCATGCAGGGTGAGGCTGTCTGCCTCTGCTTTTGTTTGCTATTTTATGTGTAACTTCTTAAAGGCATTTAAACTGTTTGCATTTTAGATGCTGTAGTTTTTTGTGTGTCACCATAAACATTTTACGTGATCTAAACTGAGAAAAAGCCTCAAAGCATTGCACATCTGAAGTGTTGTGAATGTGTTTGAAATGAGGTTATTTTGGATCTCCTAACGTCTTGCCAACAAGTATCATGTGATTCTGTCAAGTCTGAAGTTCTGTACAATTTCTGCACAGTGAATGCCATTCTTCTGGTTTCAGCACGGTCTCTCACTTTCCCAAACAGAGCCATAACGCTGGAGAATCAGCTGGTGATCCTTGCGACGTCAGTGGTGGATGCAGGAGGCTACTATGTCCAGGCTGTCAATGAAAAGAACGGCGAGAACAAGACAAGCCCACTTATTCATCTCAGCATAGCGAGTAAGTATCCAAATACACAGAGATGTGCCGCGGCGCTGAGGTTACAGGAGGAGCTCACAAAGCTCTGCCCTAATAGAGCCTTTCTAAGAAAGGATTCAGTCCTTAAAGGAGATCTCCTGGTTGGTTTGAAACAGTTTGTGTGATCAGAGGGACCTAGGGGAGCGTGAGCCTGAGACAAATCAGCCTTGGAGCCTTTTGTCTGGGGGGGTTATATTGTGCCAGGCAGGTATGTGATGGCATTCCTCACTGTTGTGAAGTTGGGATTGCAATTTCTTTTTAATGCAGGCTTTGATAATGTATTGGTTTCCATTGTGTGTAAGTAAACAAGTCACTCTTCTGAGTGCAGTTTTATTAATGAGTCTGTTCCCAGACTCTGACATTATTTTTACCTGGAGTTATCGTGGAGTCCCAGGGAACATGCATTTCATTGTTATTACTTATTATTTTACATTGCACAAATTGTATTAACACCTACCATTACAGAGGCATTCCAGAAGTGGGTTTTACAGCACAGGGGAAGGAAACGCAGGAGAGCAATGGAGTTGGAAAGGTTTCTGCACACCATATATTAACATGCACGTTCAACAAAACTGTGCAGATGTAAAATATTGTTAAGCATCTGGTAAATGTTTGTGTAAAACCAATATTTGTATTTAGGAATGTAGGAATGTTTGATTCCTTTTGAGGATATTAAGTAGAGGTGTTTTTAAGGTGGCAGTGAGGTAGGGAGTATGTTCCTCTTTTTGATTGTAGAGATGAGGAAGAGGTGACTGGTTAAATTGTCTCTGAGGCTGGCAGTGTTATGGACAGGCTGCTCTTTTGGTTTACTCTTGTAGAGGATGTAGGATTCTCAGCTCTAGACCAATTAGCACGATAAGATGCCTTTTGATCTTGGAAATTATGAGGTTTGAGACAGCCCGCATGGCTGTCTTCTTGAGAGGAACAAAACTTGGAAGCCTGGGTTTTTGGGAAGGAAGCCTCTCACATTGCTGTTCATAGTATGCTTATGTTTGTCAGAAGCTCATAAAAAATGTTACGTTCCTATGAAATGATTTCTAAAAACAACATTTTTTTTGTAATAGAAGTCCTCATCAGATTTCAAGGAAAGTTGTTCTTAAGCAAGCAGTGGAGCCCTGCTGGTGGGTCCAGCAGTGCACTGTGCACAGAGTCACTGAGGGCAGAATTTACATGCTGTAACAGAGAGCAGGAGAAACAAACCCATGTTTTCTTCCAGATATGTTTATACAGTAAATGAACTTCTCATGGGTTTTGCACATTCTCCCGAACTGGAAATAATACTGCAAATCCACTTGTGTGAATTCTATCTGTGCCGTGGCATGTAGATGGTAAACATTATTATTTCTGACAGTATAAAGAGGTTTGCTAACACTTCAGTAATTTCATTTTTAAAGCAAATTTGTATTGTTTGTATTATGTGACCAATAATGTACTTCCCACTTTAATTTCATATCTTAATTAATGCTAGGAATAGTCTGTGATCACGCTTGCGTAACAAGTTCTATGCAAAGCAGAAGGTAATATCAGCATGTGGAAAAGAAAACACTTCAAAATGCTTGCAGACTTGATACTATGAATGCTAAATCTATCTGGGATGGGAACAATAGGAAAGCAGCAAGATGGAATGTCGAATATGGATTTGCTTGTTAGAATGAATCTTAGCCAAAGAGGACAATTTAAAACCTAAGAAGTGAATTTAATACACTGAACCGGTGTGTTTAATGCTGTGTGAGTTAAAGAAAGGCTTTGGCCTTTCTTACATTGTGGTGTTTGTAAAGAAAATTAGATTGACACGGTCATTGTGATCTTTGATCTAAGAAAGAAAAGAAAGATGGAAGTGAATAAACTATTTCTGTCTAATAACAAAACGGTTGGGTCCTGAGTGAGCGAGTGAGCACGCAGGCAACGCTTGCAGAAAGATGGTATATTTTAGAAAAGTAATAAATAATATCAGCAAGTAGTTGGAAACAGATTCTTAAAGAGACATCTGAGTCTGGAAGACATTACATTGAACTGTCTGAAGTTTATCAGATTTTAAAACTGATGGCACTTCATTTTCTGTTAGGATGGGTCTAAGATAATCAATAATAATAAGGGTAAAAAAAAAAAAGAACAGTTTCATTATATCAAGTGGAAAGTGGAATATCCAATTTCTGTGTGAGTACATTTATATATTAATTGAGTGCAACCTTGCGACATGACTCGGCGCACATTGCCACTTTTATTGAGGGCAGAAGGAAAAAACTACAGATAATTCCCTGGGTAGTCATCCACAGAGAACACTGTTAGAGATGCACAGCTTGTTATGCCAATGTCCTTCAAGGAAGGAATTAGACTTGCTCTAGCCTACATGAAAAGCACATCAACAGAATCAGTCTGACAGCAGAGTTGTCCTGCTCTGTTCCCAAACGTGAGGCTGGCTCTAGGATAAAGGGACAGTCCCCAAGTAAACAGAGCATGAGTTACAAGGCTTTATACTGCAGATCAGATTCAAAGTCTTGAACTGTGGCTGGAGGTAAACGGAGTTTGAACAATGTCTGGGAAATATACCAAACTATCCAGTGAAATCAAAATGATATCCAGAAGCCAGCACATTGGGGGTATATCTTGTAGAATGAGACGTCAAAAATTAGTGCTGAATTTGAAATTTCTTAAAATCAGTTGAAGTGTATACAAAACTAATGAAAATCTTGACTCTTCTTAACCATATGTCCTCATCACCTTTGTAAATAAGGAAACAATGCTAGGCAAGTCCGACAGCTCAGCAATAATAGTAACGGTAATATTGTATAGTAGAAAAATTTTTTTTCCCAATTTTTTTTCTCAAGTCCAATGCATTATTTGCTCCATGTGGAAAATCCTGTAAATTTTCTGCTGTGGAGGATTTCAATTTTATCTCCAGCACTAGAACCTCCCAGCTTGACAAGACGTGACAGTTAACCTATCATTGATCCACTGCAGCCTACTTTTCTTATTAGCACAGGTTGCTTTACAATAAAAAAAAAAAACCTGGCAAATCCTTATTGTTCTTCCCTGCTTCCATCTATTCATCAATAAGTTAGCTGATGTCTTAAAACGGTCCTTGATTTTTTAAGCACTTTTCTTTCTTGCCCGTTCTTCTGTAGTTGGGCATCGCAGCACAGATGGTCGGATCTCTTTCTCAAGACTTTGCCTTGTCAGGGGGTACAGTGGCTTACATCTGGTCTTACCAGTGTTGGCAGGGCACTTACAGGTGGAAATATTCATTGAAGTAAGGCCATCATCATGAAACTCTTATTTCCTTGAGGGCCGTACTCCTGGCTGTCAGATAAACTTCTCAGAAACTTTTCACCAAGGTTTTTGTTGTTGTTTCTTAAATTCTACACTACAACAACAGCCCCAACCCTAACCCTCCCCCTGCTATTTTTTCTCCACAAAAACACTTTTCTTTAGTCTATGCCACTTATCTATGAAGATGCTCTCTTTTTTTTTTTTTTTTTTTTTGTTTCGGAACTGCAAGGATTTCTGGTATGTAAGTCAATAACTCAAGAAGTGTTTAAAAAAAGTTAATAGGGAGCTTTTTATTTCTGCAAGGAGCTGGCTGAGCTATTCGCTGCAATGCACGCAGCAAGTGTCCTTGTTATTTTATTGCAAGATGACGCAGCAAGACTCTGGTGTCACTTTAGAAGAAGTTTGAAAAGCCCTGCTGAGATTTTCCTATTATTAACTACAATGCAGTGCTATAGATGTGAGCACCGCTGCCCCAGTCTTAGAAACTTTTAACAGTATGCACTGCTATTTTAGAGCTTATTCCAAGCATTTTATGAAGAATTTGAGCAAGTGTCCCCGAGCAGATGATTTAAATGGTGAGTCTGCAAAGAGTGGCTGTGTGTAAGCTGCTCTGACAGCTTCGATACTCCTGCTTCAAATGGTTTTGCAGCGCTAATCATCTGGAACTGCAATCTGGGGCCTTGCTTCTGGACCTTCTTATTAAGCTGTGAAATATTGAGATGCATGTCGCTTCAATAGATTTATTAGTAAATTAGGTGGTCTCTAGACCTATTCATAATACTGGGAGATGCAGAATGTTCTGCAGACTGACATCTTTTTTTTTTTTTTTTCGATGCAGGCTTTGTAAAAACAGAAAACAAGATTGATGAATATTTTAAAAACCTTGCCAGCCAGCGTTTCTGAGGAGTCAAAGACAATAAAGCCAATTATCATTTAACAAAGATAAATTTTTCCCTTGAGCATTGACAATGCTTTTTTTTGGGGGGGGGAGGGGGGAGAAAGAGTTGGGGACTAAACATTAAATTTCTGGCTTGGTTGCATTGCAATTAATTTGAAATAGTAGGGTGCCATGTTGTTCCACCCAGCTCCCCCTGTTGCTATGAAAAGACATTTCATTCTGCAATGGTAGGCACTGACACGAGGCTAAACAGATCATGTTTGTCTCTGGTTGAGGCCCTATTTTGTTTTTCAATTTCATGTATCAAAACAAAAATTTTACAGAAGGAAAGAGTTCAATTTCAGACTGTTATAAAGAAAAGTTCCCATGATTGCACAAGATGTTTGGGTCACCTCCAGTGCCACTAAAAGTGAAATACTCTTTACACTGTTAGAAAAGAAGTAGAGAAAACAGTGCTGCTTTACCTGTGGATGCAGTTGATGCAATACCACTTTTGACATCCTTCTGTCAGGTTTGTTAAGAAGATAAGTTCTCAGAAGAGTCTGAGCAGACGTTTTCCTCTCCAGAAGAAAGCATTTCGCAAACATAATTTTTCATATTAACCATCAAGTCAGCAATATCTGCTCAAGTCAGCAGATATTGAGGAGCCTTCATGGCTACGTTTGAAACACGCTGCTGCATGAATTTCTCATGGCTGGTTCCAGCTTTCAGGTGTCGGGAGAAGAAAAGGAGTGGGCAGGAACCCCCAGAGAGCAGAGATTTCTGTTCTGAGGTCGAATTCACGCAAGTTCTATAAACTTGTCAAGCTCTTTTT